CCAGATGAACCGTCAGTGTGAGAGCTCAAACTCAAGCCCTTTAGCATAAAAATGAAAATGACTAACTATCGTATCGATTTTTAGAGCGTCATCTCTCTTAAAAAACGAGTGTCGCTTCTCGCTCTACAAATGAGGGAAGACTTGAGCGAGACTCTATCTCTCTTCTGCAAGCATCCTTGGTCGACGCCTTCTTTTCTATCGCTTTTGGCATAGTGGGCCCCCGGTGGGGGGCTCGCACGACGGGCTATTAGCTCAGCGACCGTCGACAAAAGGATCACCCTAAGATGATCATTTCATGGCTATTGAGAACGAATTCAACCAGATGGTTCTATTTCTCAATCTTTCTGACTTGCTCCTATGGAACCAAGGTCGAAAAGATTGAAAAAATCAGTCATTCATAACCACTGATGAAGGATTCCTCGAAAAGTTAAGGATTAGTAATCTTTTTTAGAAATCGAATGGATTCGGTCTTATACATACGCGAGGAAGGTAATCAAAAAAGAAAGAAGATGCGGTCTTCTGTCTTTTATCACTTAGGAGCCGTAGGACAGCATGCCGCCACCTCCATTGCCGGCAAAAAAGGACTACTTCCCAGACCCTTCCAATAGAGATTTTTGCTTTCGACCATGGTTCTCTTATGAGAAACAGAACTACGAGGAACTTCAGAGTTTAAGAAAACAAGATTCTAAGAATGATGTATATGAAATATCTGGTTTTTTTACTTGAAATTTCGGTCAGATTTCTGGACTTTTCATCTAGTTTATATATTGATGGGTGATTTGAAACTGGAGCTCATCTATCTATTCATTTTTATGTATTCTGGTAAAACTTTGCTATTGTGCTACTGTTTAAGAATGCTAAAACTATTCAAACATGTTTCTTTGCAGATATTTCTTTTAGGTGGGAGGTTGATATTTGGCCCTGATGCCAAGTCACTACTTGTCACACTGTTGTTAATCATTGCTCCAGTCATTATCTTTTGTGTTTTTGTCGCAAGACATCTTCGCCATGAGTTTTCATCCTATAACGCTGGATATGCAATCCTCGTAGTTGCAGTTGTCTTCACTATTCACGTTAGCTCCTTCCCTCTTCCTCTTGGTTATTATCTATTTATTGTGACCTTGCTCTAAGTTGTTTGACCATACAATCATGCTTCTGAATAGTTGTCAAGTGACTGTCCATTTTATACACGTGAAACAATAAATCTGTGGACATCTCAAGTATTAACTAATTTATCTAATTTAATAGCTCATACATGAACATTGTGTAAACTCTTTCTTTCGCACTTTCTGAGCTTTGCGGGGATTAGATCATATTAATACTTTCGTTGGATTTTCTACAGTAGTTCTAATAACTGTTCATGACAGAGAAGGCTGATGAAGAAACTTTTGTGCATCATAGAAACAGGCAATCGCGTTTTTTTTTGCTTGGTACGCTTGAAGATGGATATTTTTGGCCTTGATCAAGGACTGGATGGGGAAATTGAATTAACAGCTAAATCATTTGAATTCATTTCAGTCAATACACCTCTATGTTTCATACGAATGGTTGCTCAAGTGATTTTAAATAGCGTAAATTCCCACCATCAAGTTGTACAATAAAATCGTATTGCATCAATCCATAGCTACAACCAGGTTTTATGAGATGAGTTTTTGTCTCCCAAAGACCAATGATTTGTGCAGTGAGCATATATATTTAGTATGACTTGCAACCCTAGAAAGGCACCCCGATTTAAAGATACCATTATAACCATCTTTGTTGATGTGTGCGATATTGAAATGGCGAAATAACTTTTAACCTAACTTTGGATTACAGAAATATTTGATATAGCCATCCACAGCTTGGTCCAAAAGCATTTAAGCATTTTTGTGTACTTGGGATTGGTTCTCATAGATATAAGCAAATCCATATTAAGTGATTACATATATGATTTTGTGTAAGACAAATTAGGTTGATGAAATAGCCACTATGGTTAGATCTTTTCCCTCTCTGCTATTTTTTTTTTTTTCAATAGGAATCCCTCTCTGCTAATTCAAAAACCTTGTTTTTTGAACTAATATTTGATCTGTATTTAATGTACTTCTACTATCCACGTATTGAACTATTTGAATCACGTGGCTTATGCTTATCGCCTTAACTGATTCCAATAGGTTTTAGTGCTTCTGCTTCTGACTTCAAGTCGAGACCCTGGAATTGTACCACGAAACTCACACCCTCCGGAAGAAGAGTTCCGTTATGACACATCAGCATCAGTCGAGATCGGTGGGCGGCAGACGCCGAGCCTCCAGTTCCCCCGAACAAAAGAAGTAATGGTCAACGGACTCCCTGTGAGAATCAAATACTGTGACACTTGTATGCTATACAGGCCTCCTCGTTGCTCACACTGTTCTGTTTGCAATAACTGTGTCGAGCGTTTTGACCATCACTGCCCTTGGGTAGGCCAGTGCATTGGCTTGGTAGGAATCTCTTTATTTAATTTTTTTTTTTATATATTTTATTTCGGTGAACTGCTGCTATATAAGCCTAATGGGTCCTTTTCTTTTCTTTTCTTTTCTTTTTTTTTTTCCTTATCTTGTTCGACAGAGAAACTACCGTTATTTCTTCTGCTTTGTATCTTCGGCAACACTTCTTTGTGTGTACGTGTTTGCAATATCTGCTTTGTACATAAAAGTATTGATGGACGATCATCAAGGCACCGTGTGGAAGGCCATGGCAGAATCCCCTGCATCTGTGGTTCTCATGGTCTATTGTTTCATATCCTTGTGGTTCGTTGGTGGGCTCACGGGTTTTCACTTATATCTACTAAGCACGAATCAGGTGAGCTTCTTTATTTCATCCGAAGAACTAAAAACATGATTCAGCGAGTTTTCAATATTCGCTTTATTAATCTACCAGTTATTTTATTCCTTTGATAGACGACGTACGAAAATTTCCGGTACAGATCAGATAACAGGATCAACGTATACGATCGTGGCTGTGTTAACAACTTCCTTGAAATATTTTGCACCAAGGTGAAGCCCTCGAAGAATGATTTCCGGGCTTTGGTGCAGGAAGAGCCACAGAGGGTGCCACCCGTGCACGCCTCACGGGAGCTCGGACCGGAGGATAATTACTCGGGGGACGATCGGCGAATTAAGGTCGAGGATGATTTGGATATCGGTGGCGATCTTTTGAAAATCTCGCAACGCCATAATAATATAGAAGATATAGAGGCGGACATCCGGAGCAGGGGTAGTGACGTGCCGCGTCATCATAACTTGTCAGAGGCTGATTCGGTCTTAGGTTCGGACAGGCGGGTGGTGGATTCGAACACTCGGCAGTCGAGCTGGGAGATTGCGAACGATGGAAATTATGCCACTTCAAAAGAAATATGAAAATGAAGAATGAAGTGAGGTTTTGAGGGGTCTTGCTTCATCGATGGAAGCGAAGCAGTGAAGTTTTATTACGGTTAGGGTAAAATTTGTGTAACCATTCTTTAACTTGCTTGTTCTTGATTAGATGTAGCCTCTCTCTCTCTCTCTCTCTCTCTCTCTCTCTCTCTCTCTCTCTCTCTCTCTCTCTCTCTCTCTCTCTTAATTATTATTATTTTGTATGGAAGCATTGAAGAGTGAGGTTTTTATGATTTGCTGGGGAGAATGTTGTTTCTTGCTTGTGTTTTTCTGAAGTTTCTCATAATCAGATGACCAAGGAATCTGATCGGTTGATCGACCACCGATCAGGCTATATAGGTTCAATAGTTAAATTGGTAACTAATTTATTCATATATTTAAAATACATATTTTACTTTTAAGTAATAACATATATATAAATAATATTAATTAATATAACTTAATACATTCGAATTACTAAACTAATTAATAAATTTTATACATTCGAACGGTTTAAATGCTGGGCGGTTTGATGGTGATGTGGTTGTTAGTAATGGCTCAAGGGAAACCGGTTGGGATCCGGTCGTCATTGTCATGTGAAGGGGACCGGATAAACATCATGGTAGTGGGGTGATTGGGAGTGTTCGGCGTCGCTCGGTGTTCGGCACCTCTCAAGTGCTCGGCCTTGGGAGGTACTCGGCGGGGGTGCCCGGCGCAAGGTTTTCGGTGACACGTGTTCAGCACGAGGTGCTCGAACTTGGATGATGCTTGGTGGGTGCTCGGCCTTTGGAGGTGTCCGGCGGTCCTCGTGCGTCCGGAGGTTCTCGTGCGCGTCGAGGAGGTTAGAACCTCAGGGTGACTTTGTGATCAAGTTACGAAGGAGTTAGTAGTAACAAGGACTCTCGGGATTCAGAAGACCTTTTAACCTAATTAAGAGTTTGATATGAAGAAGACTTCTTATCCCACTGGGACTCTCCAAATTTCTCCTATAAAAGGGAGTAGGTTCATTCATTTTACACAACACACATTCATGAGTTATCTCGTTACTCTGCCGTTTTCTCTCTAGACCATCACTGACTTGAGCGTCGGAGTGTTCGCGCCGGGACCACCCCCGGCGTGCTTTGCAGGTACCGACGATCAAGGAGACGTAACCCGGTTCAAGAGGAGCGGTCCAGCGGTTCAAGTATTTGTGGTATAACAGATGGTTCAATCCGGACTAGAATAAAGGTCGGTTCCCGGACCAACCGGTTGAACCGGCCAGTCCGGTCCGATTTTCAGAACAATGAGAAATATCATCATTAATTGCTTCAGCTAATTTGCCATGCAAAAAGGAAATGTCTTTGTAATTTATTATGTGAAATCTAGTTTTTGAGTTAGATTGCCGTAAATAAAAAAACAGGAAATGAGTTTGTAATTTATTTTGTCAAATTCAATTTGTGAATTAATCCTTCCATTATGTAACACATTTATGCGGATGACCAGCACAAGGATGATTTAGATATACACAAATTCATTATCATAGAATGTTTTTATCATGGAAACATTATGTTTTTATTAATTTTTTACACGTGACACTTTTTTTTTGGGTTAAATTTTTTACACTAATCATGGTAACAAATATTTAAAATGGAATGCTATAACAAAATAAATAAATAAAAAATTAAATCTTTAATGAAAAATTATTTTACAAGTTTTTATATACATATGAATAAATCGCATATTTCAACGTAAAAATATTATTTTTTAATATATAGTTATACAAAAAAAGTAATGAAATTGGTCACAAAAGTTTATGGGGATGGACTGTGGTATTGTAGCCATTGTTTTAAATAGCTCGCTATATAGCTTTTTTTCGAAAAAAAAATGCGACGTAGCTTTATATATTTAGCGTTTTTCCCTAAAAGCTTGCGCGAAATGTCAAAATGACACGCTTTCTTAAGCTATTTTGCGCTATTTCACGCTATTGTGCGCTAAATTGCACTATATTTCTACAACGACATTTGAACAATAAAATAATAAAAAATTCATATTTTTTAGGGATCATAGTCATATTTACAAATGACAACTAAAAACTAAATTTTTTGATAATCCAAATTGTCTTGTTGAGATCCAGATTGTCTCGCTGAGAGTCATTTTGGGAATCCAAATTGTCTCGTTGAGAGACAAATTGTCTTGTTGAGATCCAAATTCTTCCTATGGGAGTTTTGTTATTCAGTTTTCTGTGGCTTTTCGGATATTCGCATCTTGTTTTTGTCTTGAAGGAGCCCGTAATTACGTATTCTCAGTTCTAGGGTTTTTTCTGGGATTTTGGGGTTTTTGGGATGGAGGATAATTTGGGTGGCTTCGAGATAGGGGGCGATTTGAGTGGGGATGTGCTGCGGAAACTTCATGCTTGTTCGTTATCTGAAAAAAAGGCAGGTGGTGTTGAGTTGCGCATTGATGATGTGAAAGCTAGTGAGGTTGAATGTAAATGGAGTCTGTTCGGGAAAGTTGTTGGGGACAGACCTGCTAGTTTTATGGGTGTTAAGCGTACGATGAGCAGTGTTTGGAGGTTGCAACAATCGGTGGAAGTTAAGGAGATCAGCTCAAACTTTTTCCAGTTTCTTTTCTCCTCTATAGAAGATAAAGCTAAGGTAGTCGCGGGCAATAACTGGTTGTTCGAGAACTAGTACCTTATTCTAACGGAGTGGTTTCAGGGGCTTCATAGCAATCATCCTTGTTTTGAGGAACTAAACATCTGGGTCCAAGTGCTGAATGTTCCTCTCAACTGGATGAGTACGAAGGTGGGTATGAGAATAGGACAAATATTCAGCAAAGTGAAAAATGTAGTAATTTGGAAGGTGGGAGGAGAAGTAGGGAGCTTCTTAAAAATTCTTGTTGTGTTGAATCTAAAGGAGTCTATCCCCAGATGCACTGTTGTTAAACTTGGTGATCAGAGTACAATGGTGGTATTTAGATACGAGCGACTGGTTAATTTGTGCTACTACTGTGGGATGATATGACACTTGGATAGGGGGTGCAAACGGAGGGCAAAAGATATAGAGCGGGGTAAGCCAGTTGAAGGTCAATTTGGGGAATGGCTCAAAGCAAAGAGACCTATCATGGTGGCAGAACTTTCCTGGCCAGCAGCTCAGAAGATAAGAGTGGTCCACCTTATCATCATTCCAATCAAAAGTCCATAGTCTCTGCTAGTGAAACTCCTGCCCCAAAGGCCAATGCTCAATCTGAGAGTTTCAAGGAGAGTACAGGTAAAGAGAATAGAGATATTGGGGAAACAAGCCTTTCACCTCAACAACCCAGAGCTTTAGAAATGGTTCCCTCTGCAGTGGAGCTCTATCCCAACTTAATGGAGCTTGGGGTGGAAGGAAATGAACTTTTCATGGAGGTGGAATCCAAAAATCTGAATGATCTGTTAAATCTGGAGTTCGCTGCTAGAGGAAGAAGTAATGTGGTGGGGGGATCTAAATCAGTGGCTTCTTGGAGGAGAAAGCATAGCAGTGCTGGTCGATTATTGAGGCTACCTGAGAGTGAGAGTGCTTTACCTTCTAATCCAGAGAGTGGCAATGCCGCCACAGACTCAAAAGCTTGTAAGAGGGGCAGAGAGATAGTTATCTATGAGAACGTTCAGAATAGTGCAGAGGAAGGATTTACAGAGAAAAAAATTAAAGTTGCTTATGTTGATTCTAAGGTGGAGAAGGCCAGCCTCAATTGGCCCCGAGGTGATCAATGAAAGTCAAGGTGTGGAATTGTAGAGGGCTGGGTGGGCCCTCTACAATTTCCCAGATGAAGGACTCTTTAAGAGTCCACCACCCAAATGTTACTTTTCTTTCAGAGACCAAAAAATCATGGGCCTTTACTAATACTGTTTGTAGGAAATTGGGTTTTGGTAGTAGGTGGCATCTGGTGAATCCCTGGGGGACCAGATGTGGTTTACTGATTATGTGGGATGTCAACACAGATATTAAGAAAATTGTTTCTAATGATTTCTGCATTCAAGTGGAGCTGAGAGGGCCTGGGATGAGAGAGTGGTGTTGGGTGATCTTTGTCTACATAAGTACAGACAGAAGTGAAAGGGTTAGTCAGTGGGAGTTTCTGGAGTCCAACAGAAATAATTGGGGCAGATACTAGGCTATAGCCGGTGATTGGAATGACATCATTAGCACTGATGAGAAAAGAAGTAGTGTGAGAAGACATGAATCCAACTTTAGAGGATTCAGATCCTTTATTCAGAATATGGGGATGCAAGAGATGGACCACAAGGGGGCTTTCTTTACTTGGGGAAATAACAGAGTGGGTGATGGATATTTGGAAGAAAGACTTGAAAAAGTCTTCACTTCATTTGATTGGATGGTTTCTTTCCCAAAGATGGAGGTTATTAATTTCTATAGGACAACATCACATCACAATGTGTTGTTCTTTGATACAGAAATGGAAGTTGACAGAGTTAAGAGGAGGTTTGTGTTTGGTAAGTCCTGGACAAAGCTAGAGGGTGTTCAAGAGGCTATCAAAGCAGGGTGGAAAATCTCAGTAGAAGGGTCACATATGTATCAAGTTCACCAAAAGATTAAAAGTACCAGGATGGCCCTTCTAGCATGGCATAAACCTGTCCACAGAAATAGTGAGAAAGCTGTTAAAACTTTCACTGAGGAGTTATAAGAGATGCGAAGAAGTGGTCTAGATAGAGATTGGGATCAATGGGGAATGCTGAAAGCTAATCTAGATTGTTCTCATAAAGAAGAAGAAACCTATTCGAGACTAAAATCCCGTGCTTTGTGGCTTAAGGAGGGGGATAGAAATACATGATTTTTCCATGCTTTCACTGCTCAGAGGAGGAAGACTAATCTTATTCAGAGGATAGTGACCAGAGCAGGAGTGGTATGTGACTCTAAGGAGACCATTGCAACCCACTTGGAGGATTTCTATTCAACCCTTTTCACTTCTAAAGGCAGATCTGAGGAGGATGAGATGTTGCAGCATATTCCTCATTCTATATCTGATGTTATCAA